CACCCGGGGCCTTTGCCCCCTCCTCATTCCGGCTTACAAAAAACCTTAGCAAACCAACCTCTCCTTTTCTGGGAGAAAAAAAGCCAAGGCTTCAGTGGCCTGTTTTGGGGTTCCCCCCACCCAGTTCCGTGGGCCCAGGAGGGGAATTTGGAACAAAGACCTGTGCTCTTCCGAGCACATCCCCTGCGAAGTCTCTCCCAGTGTCAAAAGGAAGTGCATCCTGGCAGGAAGGAGTATTGGAGGAGAACAGACGAGGCTGAGTTGGTCTGGAAAGGAACCTTGGGCATGGTGATCCCCTGGCACCAGGCGGTGTCCTGGTGGAAGTGCCATTCCCAGCATAACACACAAGTTCCCAAAGCAGACTCAGTGGGGGTCCTGGGAGGTGGGCAGGACAGGCCCTGGTCTCTGAGAAAGACATTATTCTCCATTCTCTCCTCATCCCTGCTCCAGCCTGCCTTTCCAGTTTTCTGGTCTCTCTTTATTAAAAAAAAAAAAAATATATATATATATTGATTTGAGAGAGGAAGGGAGAGGGAGAGAGATAGAAACATCAACAATGAGAGAGAATCATTGATTGGCTGCCTTCCCCCTACCCCCACCTGGGGAGTAAGCCTGTAAACCTGGGCATGTGCCCTGACCAGGAATCAAACTGTGACCTCCTGGTTTATAGGTCAACGTTCAACCACTGAGCAACACCGGCCAGGCTCCTTTGCTCTCCTATTGGCAAAAACTCACTTTTTCTTGAGATCAACCTGTGCTGAGTCCTGATTCTATCACCTCCAGGAAGCCTCTTTGGATTCAAGAGGTGATGTAGGACAGGGGGAAGGGGAGAGGCCTCGGGGCTGGGCCAAGCCGTGTGGAGACCCTGACTGGTGGTGTGACCTCCCTCTCTGAGCCTCCTTCCCCAATGGGAACATGGGACATCCTGCTGCCCACAGGCCAGACCCTGCACTCCTCCCGCACTTCCTCCCCCGGCAGGCATTGCGCTCCCTGGCCTGTGCCTCGCCATCAGGATGGGGTCGCAGACTTTTATCTGCTAAGGGTCCTGTGCGTTTATCTGGCCTCTGCAGCCAGACTCGAAGCTCCTGGGACCAGGCTGTTCCTCATACTTTTCCTCCAGCCTCCAGCCCCCAGCCCCCAGCACAGGGCTGGGCACAGAGCGGGCCCCTCATAGCTGCTTGGAGACAGGGTGGGGAGGGGAAAGAGCAGGGCGCTTGCCAAGCAGGCCTGAGATGGAGTCCTGGCGCTGCCCCCCCCCCCCCATGTGAGCCGTCAGCTCTCTGCCCATAGAATGGGGCTGTTAACAGCACTGACCTCGTCAGCTGGTTCTGGAAATCTAATCCGGTAAAGTAGGGACCGTGCTTGGTCTAGTCCCTGGCACATAGTAAGTGCTCAAGACACAGTAGCTATTGCGAGGCTTATTGTTGGGTGATTAGTGCCACTTCATTCATTTGCAAACAAATGTCGGTGGGGCACGCACACGCTGGAGGCCAGTCAGCTGACCATGTCTTTGCCTTTGGGCTAAAGGCTTCCTTAGGGCAGAGACCCTTCCTTCCTGCTGCTGCCTGGCCACACGGTTACTGACCACCTGCGGTGAGCTAGGCCCATGCGAAGCACCGGGGCTG